CACCATCTTCATCACCATCACCATCGTCACCATCATCACCATCATCACCACCATCGTCACCATCATCACCATCACCATCGTCATCATCACCATCACCACCATCTTCATCACCATCACCATCATTACCATCATCATCACCATCACCATCATCATCATCACCATCATCACCATTGTCACCACCATCACCATCATCACCATCACCATCATCATCTTTCTGGCCCTTCGACTTGTGGGTAGGGCTAAGTTAGTGGGCATCTCTCTGGATGCAGCTTTGCCCCTCTGAGGTTGGCTTGGCCATCAGATGGAGCCCATAGCCAGACCCCTCCGCCCTTCAGTGCTTAGTCTGAGGAAGGGGCTGGTTTGGCCCTGAGACCACTCCACAGTCATTCTTTGCTCCATCCTGGGCCTGAGGTAGGTAAATGGGCTACTCTGGGCCTCAGGACACAGCAGGAAGGACTCTGGGAGGCTGGCTTGTCGCCCTGTCTCAGTGAACAGTGAGGGGAGGGCCCTTGCCCCTTGCTCCAGGCCAAGCAGCACATGTCCGAGTTGGGGCTGGAGCGGGATGTCCTCGTGCCCTGGGCGGGCCCCTCCAGAGCCCTGCTGAAGAGTTGAGTAGTCCTGGGGAGGGTCCAGGTTGGGGGGCTGGCAGGTGTAGCCTCTTCACTTGGCTTCTGCTCTTGTGAGCAATAGCAGAGACTTTGTCCTTCCTGGGGACGCAGGGGCCCAAGCAGGCTCAGAAGGAAGCCACAGGATGCTCCAGAGCCCTGGCAGGTGCTGTGGATCCCAGCCTGTCCCCCGAGGGTGCACCAGGCCCGGGGGAGGGAGGTGGGGACCCTTGGGTTCCATCAGGTCCCTTCCCGGCTTGCCCGCCCACTCAGGGTGCCTGGAGACGGAGCGCCCATGGAAGCCAGAAGCGTGATGATTAGGAGGCCCTGCGTGTGTGCGTCAGGGGCAGGGTCCAGGCAGTCGCACTGCATTTCGGGCCCACGGCCGGGGCCTCGTTCCCGGAGCCGCCAGACGGCCGGGCGGACGGGCGGCAGTGAAGGAATCTCACCCTGGGGCGGCCTTGCTGGCAGCGGTTCGTGCTCCCTGCAGCTCTGATTAAGACAGGCCTCTGGCTGCACCCCTGGCCGCACAGCTGTCTGTCTCCGCCCACCCGCATGTCTCTGCAGTCTGTTATTCCACAAATTGGCTCGGGCCCCCGGGTGATGGGAAAAGCACACCCGTCTGCTGAATTCACAGTCAATGCAGGGAACAGACTCTGTTTCTCTGAGCCACTTCAGCCCCTCTTGCAGCCTGGCTCCAGCTTCGGGGTTTGCTGCCGACCTTTCAGGCAATACTAAAAACCAAGATTAGCATTTTGGAAAATGCAGGGCCTCATCCGAGGAGATGCTTAATGGGTTGGACTGGCAAAAAGTTTGATTTTCGTTTTGCACAAAGCCAGGCTCACTCTGGGCAGAGGAGACCTCCAGGTTCGCATGTCGTGGGCCGTGTGACCCTGCGGGGTCGGAGTCGTGTTCGGTGTGAGGCTGAGACCTGGGACCCTGGAGCCTGCGTCATGGCGAGCTCTGAGCCAGAGCCCGATCGCAGGCCTTGTCTGCATCTCGTTAGAACGGTGCTGGCCTCGTTGTGGCGGCTTTGGGCAGATGAAGCATGGAGGCACACGGAGCTCAAGCGAGCTGCCACGGCCACCCAGCTGGGCCCGGGGGAAGCTGGGATGTGAGCCTCGGCGGGGACGGGGCCGCCCTGGGCTGCCCTGCCTCCTGCCGTGCTTGCATCACCCAGCTCCCTAATCTCCTGTTAACCTCG